CTCACCCTGCTCAGTCCTTGTGCCCATTTGACACGCTGTGAGAAAACTAGCGAGCCTGGGAACGCAGACTAGAGCCCAAGCGTGCGTCCCCAAGGCCAGCTGAGTTAGCAGGCTGCAATGGAGAGCTCCTTCCAGAAGGCCTGGGCACAGGCAGCAGGAGGCCATCATCAGAGAAGGGGGATGGGACGCCCGCCCGCCCGCCGGCCCGGTGACAGCCCACAGAGCCCCTGCAGTGCCAGCGCTGCACCTCCTTATTCGCAGGCGACCAAGAGCCACGTCTGACAGGCTGATGAGGTCAGGGGGACGGACTGGGACCGAGCCAATGGAGCGAAGGGGCCGTCACAATGGCCTGGGTGAGGCCCAGCTGGCTGGGGAGCGGGCGTGAGGCCCTGTGAGCGCGTGCTGTCTGCGTCAGGTCTGCCAGCTTATGCAGGTCTGAGATGGAGAGTGTGTGCAAGTGAGTGAGCATGTGAGGGGGTGGGCCTTGCTGTGGAAGAAGAAGGTTGCAGAGCCTTCCTGGTGGGGGTGGGGTCAGGTCAGCGGGGGGAGAGGAAGGGACAGGATAAACCCGTCGCTCTGCCTGAGCAGGAGGGCCTGGTGCGTGGGCAGCCATCGTTCCACAGCTCTGTGAGATAAATGAAGGCCACGGAGCCTGGCAGATCGGAGGGGCTCCACGATCGTCGGGTTAAAATGATGTGAGTGAACTGACGCTCCCAGCCTTGGGTCTCTTCTGAGGTCTGGCTTCGCCCTTTGGCTGTGTGGGGCCCCGGTCATCGGCACTGGACCCTCCCTCATCGCCCGCCCCTCCGCCCCAGACCAGGCGTTCTGAGTGGAGCAGCCGCACTCCGAGTCCCAGCCCTCGCCCTGGGCCTGTGCGCCCTCGCACATCTTCCCACAAACTCCAAGCGGGCTTCCTGCTTTCCCAGGTCAGGCTCTCCCTCCTCCCTCCTGTTCCAGAGCAGAGATGCTGCCAAAGGCTCCCCCCTTCCAGAGGAAGGCCCCCCACCAACGGAGGGCCCGGAGTTCATCCTCCCCAGAGCACGCTTCTTTCAAGGCTCCACCCGCCCCAGTTTGGGTCCTGGCAGAAGAGAGCAGGTGGACCAGTGTCCCGGGGGCCGGCTCCACAGCCCAAGAGAAGGAAGCTTGGGCTCGGTCTCCTGGGCACCTGGGTGCAGGCGGAGGCTCTCTCTGTAGTAAACGGAGACCAGCCCCTTTCTGCTCAGCTCACTGGCAACCCTGTTTTATGAAATCATTACGATTCAGCACCAGAGACAAGGGGTCTCTTTCAGATTGCATAATCGACAAAAATTGAGAGGAAGAAATGCCTTTGAAATCATGGAACCTAACCCCCTAAAAACAAGGTGTTATTGACAGACCTGAGGTGGAAATAGAGGTCTGAAATCTTGGAGGCTTTCAGTTGCTTAAGATCAGTCTCAGCCATTTCTGACTTTCAGCAAAAACATGCCTGTGGAATGAATGCGCTTACCCTCAGGGCAGAGCCTGGACTAGAGCCCGTCTGTGCCTCCAGGCTCACAGCCTTCACCTGGGCCTCTGCCTCCCGGGGCTGGCTGCCAGGCCTGCTTTATCTCCTGTAGGCACGGGCAGAAGCTGGCGGCGCTCTGTCAGACAGTGAGTCCAGATGGCGGCCACCTGAATCCCACAGGGCTGGGGGCAGGGGAGTGTGCGCTCTGATTTACGGGGTTTCCAGGGTCTAGGCAATGGCTCCTTCTTGCCACACCCTCCAGGAAAACAAAATGAAGCAGGCTCCCCACCCACAAGGGGCCCACACTTGGGAAGGACATACCAGTCCCCAGAGGACTGCTGAAGGTCAGATGGCCCAGCCACTACTGGGTGTGAGCCTCCATTTCCCACCTGCGCCTCAGTTTCCCCATATACACAATGTCCTGATTGTATGTTCCCTCAAGGCCCCTTCTGGCTCTTAAAAATCCAGAACTCTAAGGTCAGGGGCTGTGTCTTCCTCCTCTCCTTCATGTCCCCAGCAGCTCACACACAGTAGGTCCTTCACAAGCTCACTGGACAAATGAGCTGGGTCTTCGGTCAGTCCCAGGATCACGGAGGTCAGGTCAGGAAGACTTGCCTCCTGCCTACCGCCTGATCCTCACAGAATCCACAGGTCTCACTCAGCACAGCCCTGGCAATCCCACAGCCCGCTGCAAACCTGCTTCCTCTCTGGGAAGCAGAGACGTGGCTGGAGGAGCCAAGCAGGAAAAGGTGCCAGGGAAGAGAGGTGCCAGGGAAGAGAGGGAGGCCTGGACGCCAGACAGCTCTCCCGGCCCGACGTGCACTTTGCTAACTCACCTGGCTCCTCTCCTTCCTGCTCTTCTGACTTCCCTCATCCCTGGCCCTCTCTCCCCCTTGTAGCTGCTCCCGGCCCCTCCCCGTCCCTGCCACCTCTGGGAGGCTCTGAGCCTTCTGCTGGCCGAAGACCGCCTGGCCCTCCGTGAGGCCGGAAGACAGAAGGGCCTGAGCAGACTCCTAGGCTGGCCCAGGAGCCTCGGGCTTGCTCAGGGGCAGGGCATGGAGAAAGCAGCGTGAAGACTTACGCTCTGACCCAGGAGAGGGGCTCCCCTTAGAGAAGATCTCTCCACCTGCCTCTCAGGGTTCCTGGGAATGTGCCCCTCCAGCCTCTTGGCCCTCCCCTATATGTGCAGGCATAGAGCCTGTCAAGGCAAGAAATGTCCTATCTCCCAGCTGAGATCCACCGAGAAGCACCGTGTGTGTGTGTGTGTGTGTGTGTGTGTGTGTATGGGTTATAGTTTTGTGTGTGGTGTGCGTGTGCATGTATCCTATGATGGCAGGGCGTATGGGTGGGTGGTGTTGTAGAGGTATGCTTATGTTGTGTTTGGTGTGCATGTGATGTGATATACGTGCAACAGCGGTGGTGTGTGTGCAGGATGGCATGTATGCATGTGTTTGTGATGTGTACTGTGGGGGGTGAGGGGAGTGGGTACAGGGGCCATGTCAGTTTGGGTGGGAGCTAGCTACGCAGGGTCCCCTGCCAGAGGAGCCACAGATACCCAGTATCCAGGCAGCCATGTTGGGGGGCGGGGAGGAGACAGGAGGTGAGGAATGGGCAAGAAAAGGAAGGAGGCTGCGAATTAGTGGCGTCTCCATGGTAACTACCAGGCAGGTCACATGCCAAAGGCTAAGTTGCTGAAAACGTATACACATCCACAATATGAGAGCACGAGGCCCCAGAGTGGGGGTATCTTCAACCATCTCCAAACCTGGGCATCGGGCCAGAGAGCACCCGCCAAGGAGACCAGGGGAGAGGGGACAGAGGCCACCGGGTGGGGCGAGGCCCCAGCAGCCTTGGCCCCACGGCTGGGGGCAGGCAGCGGTCTGGGCAGGCCGTTTCTCAGCACAGCCGCGCTCTGCTCCCACCTGGGAGCTTTCTCCTCCAGCCACCACTTGTAAGAGCCAGGAGCCGGCGCCAGGAGCGCCTCCAACTCGAACAGAAGCTCCGGGAGACACAATGGGGAGGTTCTGCCGGTCGCCCCGCCCGGGAAGGGGCTGGGTAGGAGGAAAGGAGGGAAAGGACGGGATGGGGGGGGCGGGGAGCAGGGATCCCTAAAAGACATCGGGACTAGAAAAACAAGGAGGAAAACACTGATGCAGCGTCCTCATGATCCCCGCGCCCTAGAGCCCCAGCCCTTCTCTGCCTCCCCCCACCGCCCTGCCGCTCCCCTAACCAGCAAGTTCCATTTTATGTCGCTCCTGTGTGCACACGCACACCCAGCCGCCCGCCCAGGCTCTATCCGGGGGCCACGCTTGCAGGTAGCAAAGGGGAGGCGCCCGCCGGATAAGGATGGTGCAGCCCTTTCCCCTTCTCCCCCAAACCAGAGCCCGCGCTCCAAGCGAGCGCGTGCACAG